GTGGTGGAGGGGTTGGCGAGGAATAGGGGTTGTGGAAGGTGGTGCGATCGTCAAGCGGCCTCCACAGCTGATGTGCAAGGGTCGACGCTGTTCCCATAAGAGTGACATTGTGGCCATGTCTCCATCGGATGTGGCTAGTGTGGAGGAGTGGGAGGACATGATGTTCATGCTCATTCTCCTCATGACCCAGTGGGTGAATAGGCGCAACGCTGTGGCCATGGCCATTCTTGAAGCAGTCGCCATCACCCCGTTCATGTTCCGGGYTGTATCRAGGGCGTTGACGATGTTTGCAACGGAGGTGGTTCACGGAATGGCATTGAGCTGGTTGGCAGCGCAGGAGTTGGTAAGACACCTGAGGTTTCGGAGAAGGCGATTGTGGATGTTGGAGCGTAGCGGAGGTTTGTGGAAGGACCTGCAAAGGGTGGGTGGGGAGCACGATAAGGTGTTCGTGCGGTTCTGCAGATTACTGTGACCACTGTTTTTGCAAGTTCTTCAGCGCATCACCCCCCATATCCAGCTTTCCCCTACCAATTTTCGGTTGCCTCTACCGGTCGGACAGAAGTTCGCTTGCGCACTCATCCGATGGGCGACGGGCGGGTACTATTGGCAATCCGCCCACAGTTTAGGTATGGGCCTTGCGAGTGCGTTGAGAAGTAGCGAGGACGTCGCAGATGCTATCCTCCACGAGTACGGCCACCTCCTCCAATTCCCTACAGGAAGGCGTTTGGAAGAAGTCAAGAATGTTTTCGAGGCGAAGGGGTTTCCCGGATGTGTGGGGGCCATCGACTGCACACACGTGTATATTGACAAGCCGAAGGGGACGCGGTCAGAGTGCAATTATCATCACACTGGAGACTTCTCGGTCGTCGCCCAAGTTGTGTGTGACAACGAGAGCAAAATTATCAGTGTGTATGTCGGTTGCCCTGGGTCCGTGCACGACTCTCGTGTGCTACGGATGTCGCCACTGTACCACAACACCATGGTAGGCAGAGGTGTGTTATGCGAGGGTGGAGCTATCATGCACGATGGAACACACGTGGGTCGTTACCTGCTTGGAGATGCCGGTTATCCCCTTCTCCCGTGGATCATGACACCTATGGGAAGATTCGCCAGAACTGATGCAGATCGGACTTACGACGAATGTCACTCAGCGGTGAGATTTTGTATAGAGCGGACATTCGGACGTTTGAAGAGCGTATGGAGGAATTTCATCCGCACTCAAATTACAAACTTGGAGACGCTGTGCAAGGAATTCATGGTTGTGTGCATACTACACAACCTCATGATTGAGCACAGGGTGGAGATCGACCCGGCCCTGTTGAACCACAGTAGCAACAGTGAGGGTGACGGGCCGCCACGCAACCCCCGTCCACGCCGGCGCCGCCGCCGACGATTGCCACTTCATATTCCTGATCTGAACATCGAAGCCATGCCAGAGATTGATCCTAGTTACGGCTCCGACCTCGGAGCGAGGATCAGGGCTAGCTTGATTGAACATGTGGCCTATCATGTGGATGTTCATGGTACACCGCCGCCATATCCGTGGAGATAGCGCAATCGTCGATGTGTGTGTGTGTGTATATGTGTGTGTGTGTGTGTGTGTGTGTGTGTGTGTGTGTGTGTGTGTGTGTGTGTGTGTGCGAACCTGTTGTACCGAACAACCGACGATTTGTTTGTGAAGGACAACATGTCTCTCTCTATCTATCTATCTATCTATTTATGTATTTATCTATCTATCTATCTATCTATCTATCTATCTATCTATCTATCCATTCTATCATTCTATCCATCTCTCTCTCTCTCTCGAGATTGATTGATTGATTGATTGCTCGTTCGGTGTGTCAACGCTGTGACCTTACATGCGAATGAAGGGTGTTTTTTTTTACTAGTTCGTAATTTGTGCGGTCATCGCAAAGGTGAATTGTTTGATCGTTCAATCGACAAAATCATTGTTTGTTGTATTGTCACATCATGGACTGATTGTTTGATTAATTGATTGATTGATTGATTGATTGATTGCTTGATTGATTACCTGGTTGATTGACTGATTGACTGATTGGTTTATTGATTGATTGTTTGGTTGATTGATTGATTGGTTGATCGTTTTACGGTTCGCCGAAGAATTGATTAAACGATCTTTTCGCAGAGCGAGTGGTCCATTGTTCGATGTCTCTCTACCCATTACTGCATCGGTTTCTCATCTATATATATATATATATATACATATAATTTTGTTCATTCTTCCTTGCAACCCCCTCTGTTCACAACCTTTTGCGTTCGAGGGAGCGGACAACCCGGCATGCGAAGAAGTTGCACTATGGACAGACCACCCCTCATCCATATCCTCTCCTTGCACATCTCCCATCGAAGGTGAGGGCTCGACAGCAGACCGCCTCACCGACATGGGCGAGGGAGCGGACAACCCGCCATGCATGGGTTGCGACGGTTGTCGGCACTGTGGGGACCACTGCCAGTCGTCCCTCATCACTCCGCCCCTTTCCATAGTGTGCTGGGTGGGGTACATGTGCCAAGCAATGCCATATCCACCGCCGCCTGGGAAAATGTGCGGAGAAGGCATGCCATACCCGCCTCCAACCTGTGTGCAAAACGACGTCTGGCCCGTATCAAGGCGCCCGAGTGCAGACTGTCTGTAGTGGGTCGAACAACGAACCGCCGACGCGCACCTTCCGCATGATGGACAAATGGAGAGGGCACAGGAGCAGGTGGCACTTGAATCGGCCCCACACGCACAACCTCCTACAACTGCCCGCCGAAGGACTGCATAGTCGTCGGTGAAGGCGAGGAGTACGGGACAGATCCTTGCTGTCTCATGTCCTGGGTTTGGAATCCCCCATCATTGCCTGCACAGGGATCTGTTGTCGACCGGTACGACTCCATTTGGCTACGGAAGACATATATACGGAGGCAACACCTACAAACACGCAATGGCCGTCCAACAACAACACTTCGCTGCTTATCTCCACCGACAGCAGCACAAGTACACGATCGCGCACCAAAAAACGACGGACAACACGAAGCTGTGGAAAGGAGGATAGCGACGGCAAGCAGGTCTGCGATAACTGCCAAAGATGGTTTTTTTCGTTTCCTGTCTCCGCTGCAGTGGTTGTTTATGATAACATCCACACAACAACGACGATGGAAGCAGTCACATCCACAGGGCCGACTATAGCGTTCGACAACCGACACGTGGCGAGTGTGTGGATGAGGACTTATAACCACATCATCATGTGCAGCCCATCCCTGCCCACATGTGTCGGGGTTGCTCTCCGGCGATGATAAACGACCACCCTGCCAAGGCAGGGAAGAAGTGAGGATGGCAAGGGAGGCACACGACGGAGTACGACATGTGCAATGGCGACCACATGGGAGGTCAGCATTGGACGACACGTGTGCGCGCGGGCAGGTAGTGAGAGCGTCGGGGCCGGACTGTGTGTTTTACAGACATTGCTCGGCACAACGCCAACAACTTCGAAATGCAAGCCCCGGCCAGACAACGCCTGCCGACGCCACCTAAGATGGCTTCCCAGTAGGCAGGCCAGGGAACCTGCACGTGCCGTCAGCATTTCCACGACCTGCTTCCAAGCACGGTGGGGGCTGAAATTCCTTTCCGGGCCGACTATCCACACCGGTTTCCAACACCGGTGGGGTCTGGAAAACACTACAGCCCCCGAAATTTTCTAGGCCGTCAACCAGTGGGGTCCAGGCCTTAGGCTTGGACCCCAGTGGTTTCCGGCTGGAAAGTGTTGTTGGCCACAAAAAACGGCCGACTGTGATAGGAAAGAAGTTGCCGCGTTTTGTTGGGACCCCACCGCAGCACTGGACTTTCGACACTGGAAACTCTTCGACATGCCCGATTAGGAAATCCGCCCAAGTTGTTTCCCGAAAAGGCAAGTAGGCCCGGGGATGTGGTCCAGGCCCTTCTATCGGCATGCACCATGACATGTCCGTGTGTGGCCGTGCGCGACCACGTGTAGCGCACGCCGCACAGGTACCGTACACATCACAACGGCCTCACATCGGGGCGCGATTGTGCACGGAAATGACCGTTGGGAATATCGGTTAGTGTCCCACTCCATCGCCCCCCAACACTCGCCCGCCCGCACTCCTGTCGTTGGTACNAGAGAGAGAGAGAGAGAGAGAGAGAGAGAGAGAGAGAGAGAGAGAGAGAGAGAGAGAGAGAGAGAGACAGAGAGACAGAGAGAGAGAGAGAGAGACGCAAGCGCGTAGTGAACGGCAGACCAAACCCCATTTCAATAGGGAGTTTACAAAAAGTTGCGAAACACACATAGGAGAATTGAAATGTAATTGTTTAACGACACAACGTTAATGCTGCGTCCAACCCTCATGACGACAGAAAAAACGGCCCACATGTGGCCATCGCGGCGGGTCAAGCATTATCCGGTCATCGTCGCCCTCGTGTAAACAAATCCTCCACCATCGATTCGTTTTTTTTTCTCTCTCTCCCTATCTCTCTCTCTTTCTCTCTCTCTCTCTCTCTCTCTCTCTCTCTCTCTCTCTCTCTCTCTCTCTCTCTTTGTCTCTCTCTTTCTCTTTTTGGGATGCTCGAAACACTTTCGTATTAATACTGCTATATTTTCTATTTAGGTGCACTACGTTTTCTATTCTTTTCTGCAGATGTAGCTTCTCTTTTTGTTTGTATAGGTCTCATAAATAAACCAATAATGAAATTCTCTCTAAATTGGTGGAACACTTTGCATCAACCTTCTCTCTCTATCTTTCTCTCTCTCTCTCTCTCTCTCTCTCTCTCTCTCTCTCTCTCTCTCTCTCATTATATATATATATATATATATATATATATATGTATATATATGGAAGGCGGGCTACCACCTATTACGTGCAGCCCTGAGGTCATCCTCCGGGCACCAAATCTGGACCGCCCCATGCAGGTAGCCTCTCTCCTGAAGTGGAGGCTCCATGTGCGCCACATAGCACGCGTTGTTGCTACTGACCCCCACGTGCTCTTCGGCGATGGCGGAGACTCGATAGTGGACGATGTCCCCGACGACATCAGGCGTGGGACGGGACACCCGGCGTGGATGTCGGGACGGGGAAACGACAAGCCATATAGATAGAGGAGTTATAACGCGTCGAGGAGTCTATATCCGCCCTCTCGTATGCAACATTGTTTCCCCTACCCCCGTGCCTCACAAGAACCCCCACGAGCATCTCAAGGACAGTGTTCCCCCCACGCATGGCATCTGCCACGTCACTGATCTTCGCCGCAATCACCGAGCCTGCCTCCGACGTTGCCTTCGCCAGAGTGGTAGCGGCCTTATCCAAACCCTCGCCGTACGACCGTATCGTGTCCTCAATCGCCCTACCCAATGCTGTCCCACCGCTGATCGTGTCGTCCATCCTAGTTTTGCCGGTGTTCGTCCTTCGGGTCTTCGCTGCTTGGTCCGAATCCTCCATTGCTTTACTGTCGGAAACACTCCTGCCCGACGACGGTTGTGCTGGACCGCCAGACGTTGAATTCCCCCCCGCGTTACCTGGCTGGTTCTCGGACGCCAGCGTCTTGTCACACTTGATGGATGGCCGATTGAGTTTCCACTCCATCGCTTCCCACAGAGCTTTCTGAAAACTTAGTGGCACCTGCTCCGCCTTCCGCTCCTCAACGGTCATGTCCCAGTACGAAGGTTTGCCCGAAGCATTCTCACACTTGTCGAGAATCAACTTCGCTGCCGCCAGCATGCCCTGCCACTTCTTACGACAATCCTCCACCGACATGTGCGGATACCCCTGCTCCGCCATCCGATCATGCACCCACTCATATCGATCCTTCCTCCTCTTGAACCGATGCTGCCCGTCAGCGTCGGCCATAAGGGCGTCATCCTCGGCCATCAATCTGGACAACACGATCCTCTCATCCAAGCTCCATGGGATGTTTTGCTTCTTGTTTTCGCAGCACCATCTTTGCCCCCGCGCTTGTTTGCACACTTGCTGCTTCGGGGCCCAACCACATTCTCGCCCCCATCTCTCTGGCCAGCACTAGCACTGTCCCTATCCTCCTGCACGTTGTCAAAGTTTTGCCCATCAATGTCACCGCCATCACCTTCAACTTCATAGTCGCAAACCAACTCATCTTCCCCGCCACCAAAGGAATGACCTTGCAAGCCGGCAGGCGATGAAGTTGCACTGTGGACAGRCCACCCCTCATCCATATCCTCTCCTTGCACATCTGCCATCGAAGGTGAGGGCTCGACAGCAGACCGCCTCACCGACATGGGCGAGGGAGCGGACAACCCGCCATGCATGGGTTGCGACGGTTGTCGGCAC